TAGTCGTAGACATTCGCTGTTGATAATGGTAGAAAATTAAGTAAGCACTTACAGACTAATGCTGCTTTGAAGAACATTCTATTAGATTCAAGGCATCTTTATTTAATGTAACATATAACAAGACAAAATGTGAAATAATGAAAGTAACTTGATTAAAGCACAGAAACTTCAGAGAACAAAGAAAAATAGAACAAAAATACTTCCATAAAAATATTATGCGTAGAGAAAAAAGAAAAAGAGCATTTAGAATACATATAGATATACATGAAACTTTAATATGATCAAAAATTACTACAATTCATCGTACCATTTTCTTTACTTTGTCGTCATAGTACTCGATTGTTTTTAAACAAGTTCGTTTCTAAACAAATTTTAAAATCATGATTTACAATAAAATTACTATAGTTACCTCTTCGTTTTTTTCCACGATAGCATCATGCCGCATTCTTGAGCATATGGCATACCCCTGAAATAACTAAAAGAAAGACTGGAAATACTAAACGAATTTTTGTTTTTAGAAATTATAGCACGTTGGTCTGTGTGTTTATCTATTCGGTAGATCAAATAATAACAGCACATGCAATTGTCTATCTCATACTCACCTGCTATATAAAAAAATATTAAACGTGCTGGTATTCATCTTTTATAGCCAAATATCTTTTTGTTTTATTATCTGTATCTTAATAAAATAAAATAAAATAAAATACTATATAAATCAAATATATATTTCTTTGTCTATCTATTGTGCGAATAAACGTACCAAGTTCCATTGTTACTCAAATCCGCTACTCGGTGAGTGATTCTTACTTAATATTGATATTTTGTTTATACCTATTAGACATTTTCAGAAAAAACTTCCAAAATGAATTACTACTTTCTTCTCCTTCTTTCACTCAACTATCAACTTGCCACCAACTTCTGTTGTTCTCTACCAACTCCTCCTAAATCAAATGAACATCTTCATAATACAAATCACACCTTTGAAGATAACAAATCATGCGCAGAATCTGTTACCTACACTCAAGTATTAAAACTGATAAGAGAAGCTTCATGTAGCCAACATCACGAAAACATCACAATCATTCCCAAAACCAAATATCAAAAGCGAGAACTAACTGCGAACAATGATATCAAAGCTCTTCAAACAACAATCAACGATCATCGAGTGATGATCGAATACCTGTTCAACAATTCTATAAATGAATCTACACTTACTAAAACCTTTCAGGACCACTCCCCACGTCCACCAACCTTCTCTAGCTGGCGAGATATAATCGATATGATTTGCATTATTATAATTATTGGTGCATTGATACACTTTCTCATATGCATTCACGGAAATCCGTTGTGTGACAGAATTATAAGTTGTTTATTCAGACCGATTCTTCGTCGCACACAAATACAAAACAAGCCAATACATCAACGTATATCACCACTACCCAATCACAATGCATCTAAAACAGCACCACCCATCACCACAGTATCAGAACACTTACGCAGTCTTTCCAAAATAGCAGATTATCACATTCCACCATCATCAGCCAATTAAATACCATCAAACCAGATCTTCCCAGCAAACATCTTTCACACAAAACTTCTACATAACTACAGAACTTTTCTATATTTCGCATGCAATACGTGTATCTAAAATCTAAAACATATGATATTTGAATTTTGAATAAAATCTTGAATTTCTCGGTGGTACAATAGAAAATGAGCTGCAAACTAACAAAAACAACAGAAACAACAACAAAAGCAACAACATCTATCTCTTGAAAATGACCACATAGTTGAAAGTCGAAACGTCGAAAACGTAAAAAACAAGAAATCAACAATTTGTTTTGAAGTCATCAACGAAAACAAAAAAACTGTTTATTCGTTATCTCAGTCTACCACTTACAAGAAATATTGAATTAATACAATTTATCTCATGCTGCTCTCTATCGTCAATATCATTATAACATATGATATTTGAATTTTGAATAAAAACTAAAAATCAAATTGACTAAATTGCGTAACGCTTCGATATAATCTTAAATACAATCTGTCTTATATCGTTTTATTTCATTATCTTTTCAAAACATATTTAGTTTATGGATGCAGAAGAGCAACTCCATTATCCTCACCACATATTTTTAACTCGATCAATTCGAACGGAAGTTTATCTAGACTTGTTGCTGATGTCAATTTATACGTTCTATCTATATCTCTCAAGACAACCTTCGTCAAGATAGACGTGCACGTCAGTGAGGTAACAAATATAGATAGTTTAATGATAATATCCTCACCCTCAAGGCAATCGTACTTTAGTAAAAGAAAATTAAACAGTTTGATAACATCTCATTATGAAACAAAAAGTAATAAATTCTAAGTAGTTAAAGATGAGTTTTAGCCCATTCTGCGATCAAATCATTAGCCTGTTTGAATGCTGCCATGATAGTAGGATTGTCTGGATTCGGTCGAGAAGCAAAACCATGCACTGTTCCATTGGTTAATAAAAACTTGCTTGGTATGTCGGATTTACGCGAAAGTATATGTTGTACCTCTGTTCGAAAAGAATCGGAAAAATATTCGTCTTCTTGAGCAAAAGCAAAAGCCGCTGGTACTTGTAATTGTTCAAAATGACTTTTATTTACTAATGAAACATGACAACCAACAATAGTATCGGCAAGATGAAGTGAACCTCCAGCTAACATCGCATAAAGACCACCAAAACAATAACCAACAGCTTGAATTCGGGTTGCATTTCTTTCAGGACGAAGCGTCTATAAAAAATACATATCATTCAATTTACAGAGATAATTGATATGAAACCATACTTTAAAAAATCTTTCTACAATTGGAAGAGTAACACCTTGACGATGTCGAATCATCCACGGTCCAATATCTGTGAATACTTTTCCTACAAAATTAAGCTATATTACAAAAAATAAATATTATTTTTCACATGATTTCCTATATAAACTTTACTTTTGCACCAAACGACTTTTTTTCTCCAGGCACTTCAGGTGAACCTTTTAAGTGTGACGAAGGAAGTGCATCACCATTGAATAAATCTGGCACATAGACATCCATACCACTTTTTTCTGATACTTCATCAGCAATAATACGTGGATTTTTTACTAAACCAAATACATCGGTTAATAAAACAATAACCTTTCCTTTTGATGTTTGATCATCTCCTTCAATAAAATAAGTATCAATGTCGGCAATTTTTATAATTTGTCCACGTGGAGTTCCTGGTAATGGATGATATTCAGCTAGGCAACAATCACCTAACTTATCTTTATTTGTTCCATTAGCCATCAAGTGTTTTTCTTTATGAAAACGACCAAAATAGTTTATGTAAACTAAAAAGAGCCGATAACGTCGTTTTTATATTACACGTGAGAATGAATTTTTCCTTTTCTGTCACTGTGTTGTCAAGTACGTAGGATAAAAGCGTTGATGAAAGAACGGCACATGCATACAGAAAGTACGTTTGCGTACGCCAATTATATATTTTTACCTTTCTTTCCGTCAATATCTTTGTTCATCGATAATTAATGTTAAGTAAAAGAAACGGTTATACAAAGATTAATCCCGAACTGAAAATGCTAGTGATTAGCTAAAGGATGATCGACATCGAGAAACTCGAATCTAATGTTAATAAAATGATAAAAAACATTAATGAGTTCTATCAAATTGTGTCAAAGATTCATTCTTATTTTATTTCTTCGTCATCAACGAATGAATATCACCAATTAACCCAGGAAAGGCTATTTTTAAACATGTTTCTTTTTCTTCTTGATCAATTAGGATACAATCCTGTATTTCAACTTAGCTATTGCTTCAAAGTTGAAAACATGGTCCAGTATTAGGTGGGATTCACGATAGAGTTCAGTTCATGCTATAAAGATCAATTACAAATCAATTATCATTGCATTTAAAAAACTTATCGAAGAAGGTGATCATCGTTCTGTAGATGCAAGAGGTATATTGTTACAATGTTTATTTTAATAAAATTACTTAGTGGAATAAAAATTTTATCAGATCAAGTGAAGAGTAAGGGAAAGCGAAACGTATCTCAAAGGAACAATATAATTTTATTATTTTAGATGAATCAATTGATTACATTGAAGATCGAAATGAAACATCATTTAAAACTATTTCTCTTAATGTTCTAGATTTTGCTAAAACATATAATATTGATATGAACTGAATATCAAAACATACACGACCAAAAGTAATACCAGCTCGATTCAAAAACCCAATATTAACAAGTACACTTGGACATCATCGTGAAAATATATCTTGTTCATTAATTGATTCAATATTAGTAGAAATGTGTGATCGTTTTTCACTTTCAAATATTGCTGTATTAACAAGTTTCTCATCCATGTCACCGCAAAACAAATATTTTTTAATTATAATCATCTGTGACTTGTAGCAATGTATACTAAATATGATCAAGCTCATTTATTAAATGAACTTCAAGTTTTAAAAACAATGTTAGTGCATCAAAATATGTCTAATAAAAAATGATTTATATACGGAAATTATGCCATTTCAATGGTAAAAGCTGCTTTAATAGTTCCTGTGTCTTCAACTTCATGTGAACGTGTCTTTTCTGAAATGAAATTATCTGAACTACATATAAGAACTACAACGAATGATGGAAGATTAAGTGATCTTTGTATTTTGTCGATCGAACGTGACTTGGAAATTAACTCCTCAGGACGAATGTTCCGGCTTATGGATCCCAAAGGAATCAAACCGATCACCAACATTTCAACGGATCCTATCGTAAACGACGGTATACAAAAAACCAAATATCACACATCTCATTCTGGGTCAACATATCACCGCGGAGCCATCCGAAAAAGCTGAACGAATTCGACCGAATTTCCACCTGACAAAAGTTTCCCTACACTTCCACATCTTTCCAAAGACCTCCGACCAAAGCCGCAACAATCCCTTAATTTTCGACCATAACCGGTCATACCACAAACAGTCCGAAAAAATCCGGCCGAACACTAAAACATCCAACAAAACTCTGCATTTTCCATCGGATTTTCATCCGATTCTTAATTCATCTTGAAATAACTTTATAAAATCAACTTACTCGACCAGAGGATCAGGTTTTTGGATAGCTTGAAAATCCGATTCAAATCCTCTCAAATTCCTGATATGTGAAGGATTGATCGAAGGCGAAGATTTGTGGTCAGTATTTACGTAGATGTATTTATCTTTGTCAGTTGTGGATGCGTAAGTTATCAAGGAAAGAATTTTCTGGAATCATGCTTCTTTGAAATGCCGGGAATGTGCTGAAACAGATCGATTCTGGGCGAGATTTTTTGACCAGAGATATAATTCAAAATAACCAATGATTGAAGTAGATATATCTGTTCTTTCATATTGATCTAGAGTTATTTCTTATAAAAAAGATATTGAATCCATCGATCACACCCTCAAATCACTTGAACCTACAAGATGCAATTTTAATTATATTTCAAGTATGAGAATATTGGATTAAACTTGAATTTTTTATTGTAATAATTGTGGAATAGGAAATCAAAAATAGAAAAATAACATAAACACATCTAGAGCGTATATTTATATATTCTTCATTTTGGAAAAGATTTAGAATACCTTTTCATACTATGCTTACTCATTTTGAAAACAAAGAACGTCAATATCACTTTGTCTTTCAAATTTTTTCATTGACAACATATAAACTATAAACATTCATTTATTACAAATTCAAACTATTGAGAATAAAAATATTTCATAAATAACGCTCGTTGAGACAGACTCGTTAAGCCCTCGACTGAATGAGTAACTCAACATACAATAATCTTTTTTCATTTCACAGTTTTACAAACTTACTTTGAGGACTATTTTCGTTTTTCTTATTAATTGGACGTTCCTAAATGACAATCACTATCCAAATGCAACGGTGATTCGTTGAGTTCGGATATCATAACCTTTCCATTCGTATAAGAAAAGATGTTACCGAGAGCCGTTCCGCAGTGCTTTCAATCTCAAAAAGCTTACTATTCAATTTTATCAGTCACAGCACCTACTCTGTAAAAAAATACCGGGTTATAAGGAACTATCTAAGGTTCTAGCATAGATTCAGAACCTTTTAAGCTTTCATTCGTTTAACAATAAACCATCAAAAGGTTTTAGATAATTTAAAAAACTATTTGAGAAAACCAAATGGTTTGGTACACCCAAAAGGGTTTTAGTTTGCACTACTTTTCCAAATACGGAATCTTCACAGATAAAAAATGCTTCCAGACACTTGAAAGGGTTCTATATTGCACCATATTTTTTCATTCAGAACCACGACTCATACGAAATGGTTCAATAAATTTGAAATGCTTTTGTCTGACACCCTCGACCTCCATAACGATCGCTGATCGATATGAAAGGGTTCCATAGACGTGAAAATAGTTCTATACCGAACCATTTTTACCTATAGGGTTGCATCACTAAATTAACATAATGGAAGCCATGAAAAAAAGCTTTTACATTGAACCACCTTTCATTCTAATACTTATCGGTGGGTTAAAATGGTTCGATATCGAACCTTCACACTCATTGTACAGATTTAAAGCTGGTAGGAAATGGTTCTATTCAAAACCATTTTGTTTACGTTTTTCTTCGCTTATAAGAAGCTGTTTCAATACGAGCCTCAGACCTTCAGTCCGAACAGAAGTCGTGAGACGAATTCTCCGCGCACTATACATTTCAAAAATATATCTTTCTAAAATCATTCAAATTGAGCAAGTCTCATTGAACGTGACACAATCTTCATAACTTCATCAGAGAATTTTTTCAAATTTCATATTATGAGTAGTCTTGAAATTACTATTCATACTACTTAACGTTTTTAGTGCTCAAATTACTATACTAGGTAATTAGAATGAGTATCAATCCATATGGCAAAACATGCGCCTTTAAGTTTAATTATACGAGCTAAAATTGAAATGCAAAAAAACTCTCAAACTTAGAAACCAATTTATAATGCGATATTTTTTTNACTTCACTACCACGAGACCAATCGCCATTCCATCCAGAAATAGGCATCTCCGCGAAAGAGCATCTCCAACTCCCATTTATGAGTCCAACTGGAACAAACACTCAACTACAAAAGAATACTTTTACCATTAACACAAATTTACTACGAACACTAACAACAATCATCACTTACTCGTAGCAGTTTTCTTTCTTTGTCTTTGTCAAATTCACATATATTGAATAGGTTTAACTCAATGAATCAGGATTACATTTGACACAGCTGACTCTACTCTGTAAAAAAAACCGGGTTATAAGGTACTATCTAAGGTTCTAGCATAGATTCAGAACCTTTTAAGGTTTCATTCGTTTAACAATAAACCATCAAAAGGTTTTACACAATTTAAAAAACTATTTAAGAAAACCAAATGGTTTGGTACACCCAAAAGGGTTTTAGTTTGCACTACTTTTCCAAATACGGAACCTTTACAGATAAAAAATGCTTCCAGACACTTGAAAAGGGTTCTATATTGTACCATATTTTTTTCATCCAGAACCACGACTCATACGAAATGGTTCAATAAATTTGAAATGGTTTTGTCTGACACCCTCGACCTCCATAACGATCGCTGATAGATATGAAAGGGTTCCATAGACATGAAAAGAGTTCTATACCGAACCATTTTTACCTATAGGGTTGCATCACTAAATTAACATAATGGAAGCCATGAAAAAAAATTTTTTACATTGAACCACCTTTCATTCTAATACTTATCGGTGGGTTAAAATGGTTCTATATCGAACCCTCACACTTATTGTAAAGATTTAAAGCTGGTAGGAAATGGTTCTATTCAAAACCATTTGGTTTACGGTTTTCTTCGCTTATAAGAAGCTGTTTCAATACGAGTCTCAGACCTTCAGTCCGAACAGAAGTTGTGAGACGAATTCTCCGCGCACTATCCATTTCAAAAATATATATTTCTAAAATCTTTCAAATTGAGCAAGTCTCATAGAACGTGACACAATCTTCATAACTTCATCAGAGAATTTTTTCAAATTTCATATTATGAGTAGTCTTGAAATTACTATTCATACTACTTAACGTTTTTAGTGCTCAAATTACTATGCTAGGTAATTAGAATGAATATCAATCCATATGGCAAAACATGCGCCTTTAAGTTTAATTATACGAGCTATAATTAAAATGGAAAAAAATTCTCAAACTTAGAAACCAATTTATAATGCGATATTTTTTCGCTAGTTCTAATCATATGTTGGGCATTGTGCGAATCTCTTCGTATGTCCATTGTTAAATTTCTTATTTCGCAAGAGATTAATGCTGATGTCTTCACAAAAACCAATTGATCAATACTGCGTCAAAACTCAGTGAATTAAAAATATATTGTTTATAAGCCTCCATAGAAATCAGAAAAAAANGGAAATTCTCCTACTATCACAAATACAAGTTATATTACATTCTGAGAACGAATCTTTCAGTTTCGATGTATGATACATTTCCTTGCACATTTGGAGTTATGAAAAACTTTTACCTAATCTTTGTTCCACTCATAATGAAATTCTCTTATGGGCCGTTGACCTCAGGGCTCAACGTACGCTTAACATCGACTCTATCTCACATGTCCTCACCCTCTCAACCAACTTTCAGTGTCAAAACACCCTTCGAAACCATGTTTTATGAAGTTTTGAGCGTTTTTGGAAAAAATGTTTTTTTTGACCTTTGACCTTTGACCTGCGACAGACACATACACACAAACGAATTTCCGTTTTTTTGACCACTTTTTTCGACATGACCCTCCTTTCAGTCGAGGGAATAATTTGTTTATTTAAATATTCGGCTCGGATTTGATGATGGAACATTCTTCTCAAGAGTAATTGAATGCAATTTGACTAATTGGTTTCAAGATGACGAAAGTGTCTGCTTTCACATTTACATTGTTGTGTGTATCATATGAATGATTTCACGAAACATAGTATTCACTATGTGATACAGCACCTCTTGAACTGTAGAACTCTTTTAAAGCCACACTGTGACGAATATTCAAGAAAATTGATTCCCCCTACACCAATCGACAGCTCTTTAGTCTAGTTACGTTTCATCCAGCAAGTACTTCTCCAAATTCTGAACTTTGTATAGTGTCAACATCTTTTCTTCTGATCGATAAAAACAAACCCCATGTATTTTCACTTGCGCGATGGATTAATGACCGCTGACTTAATCATAACGCACACCAATCGATAGAGCTCAACAAGGCGGATCGAATTATGTGGATTTTAAGAAAAAATATTTGGTTTCTGGAAGCGATAATGCGTTTGTTTGAGGATCTCAATGCATTTTTTGCTGAAAAGATTTAATTGGAACAGACACAGAACGCGAGAAAAACCGAGGTAGATCCGACTTTAACGATCACTGTTCACTCAATTTTTTAGATATTTTGATAAAGAGTACATGGTTCGATAGAAAAATGCTTACTCTATTCCGCGTCTCAAAAATCATCTCAAACGGATGTTGAGAAGCGGAGATATTTGAGTTTTACTGAGAGCGTTGAAGATCATGATGAAATTGGGAGTTGCCACTCGAAATAAATAATATTTTTGTTTGATTTCATAAAACGTGTAAGGTAAAGGACAAAATAGTTATTATTATTCGAACTAGTCATTCTATTTCATACCTGAATGATTTTTAGATATTTATTCTCGAAGATTCGATAAAGGATACATAAAATGAATGAGTTGTAACCATTGATATAGTCATAAATATTATTTATTTAAATACTTACGTGTTCATATACATGGCCTTCAAACAAATCAAAACAATTCTTGTTTTAACTTTATTATTGATTATTATTGATCAATGTTTATCGAAAGAGAGAAAATCATCTAAACGAACAAAAGATGGTTTTCATCAAAGAAATATGAAATCTGATTTATTCAAAAGATTCAAATTGGCTCAACGCGATGGTGACGTGACTTGTCCTTCACCTTATATACGAGATATTGATGTTTGTACATGTAGTTATCTCATAAAAGATGAAGATATTGATGGTTATGGCAAATATGCTGTTACAATTGATAATTATAATGCTGTTATACGTGATGGTGACGGTGCAAAGAAAGTTGGTGGTACTTGTGGTCCAACTTGTCCTGAAGGTTACAAATATATGCATACTACTGATCGTGATTGGACGAAATACTATACTGGTTATGGTGATAATACTGAATCTAAAGAATATGTTCGAATGTATAATTTTCCTGCCGTTGATCCAAATGCTGCTGATCCATATTATTTTCTTCCTTTTTATACAATTAGAGATACTTATAGTAAGTATTTTTTGTATCATTCTTAATTCGATGTATTGTATTGATTTATTTAAAGTTTCTGTTCCGTATTCACCGTGGATGATTCGTCCAGACTATTCCAAAAGAATTGCTTTTCGTGTATGCCAAAAATTATAAAACAAATCGAAAGGTATCATCTTATTCGATTAGTTTTGTCTTTAGAGAACATTTTCTCTCAATTTTAGTTCCAATCATATATCAAACATTCATCGTAGTTTATCCACAAACAAAAAATTTATTAACTTTTAATCTGTAATGTTTTTCTTTTCTTTTTAATTCATTTCAAATAGATTCATTTATTTTCTCTTTAAAATCAATGTTGCTACATATATTCTTTTCCTTCAATGAAAATGGGGAAAACAATAAAATATATCATGTTAGTGTATCGTTAACATCTTATTCGAGTATTTGCTCTTCAGATTCGCTTGAAGGTGGGTGTCATGGCATGTCAAAGGAATTGACGTTCTCATCTTCACCCACCTTCTATTTATTTTGTGATAAAGAGAAATAAATTCAAATCAAAATTGTTGGATTCGTACTCCTAAGATCGGTGTGAAGCTAGCACCATTTAGGTAGCACCAGATAACGAAAAATCATAAAAATCTTGTGTTCAAACGAATTCCCATCCGTAGAAATAGGCTCATTCGACGCAGAATTTAATTCTACATCGAATGGTGTCGTTCTTATCGACGGGAAAACGACGGAGAAGATTCTATGTAGAGTTTTTCCTTCCAGACACAAACGTATAGAAAAATCTCTATAAAATTTTCTCAATCGTTTTCCCGTCGATAAGAACGACACCATTCGATGTAGAATTAAATTCTGCGTCGAATGAGCCTATTTCTACGGATGGGAATTCGTTTGAACACAAGATTTTTATGATTTTTCGTTATCTGGTGCTACCTAAATGGT